GCAAAGTCAGAAAAGATAAAGCACAGAATGAGAGCAATAAAAAGGGCTCAAATTGAGGGAAATGGAACAGAGGACACGATACGGGAAATGCAGCATACAATAAGTAAAGAGGTAGTGGAGGGAAACTTGGTTAATCTAAATGAATTTAAGTCTCTAGGACCAGATGAACTGCATCCAAGGATTTTAAAATGAACTGGCAAATATAATTCAGAGCCACTGGCAATAAGCTTTGAAAATTCCTGGAGAACAGGAGAAGTCCCAGCAGACTGGAGGAGGGCAAACATTCTCCCTATCTTCAAAAAGGGAAAAAAGAGGATCCCAACAATTATCGCCCAGTTAATCTGACATCAATACCAGGAAAGAATTTAGAGCAGATCATTAAACAAACATTAATGATCTGCTCTACATAAAGGGAATGCTATAATCACAAAAAGTCAACATGGGTTTCAGAGAAACAAGTCATGTCAGACTAATCTGATTTCTCTCTCTCTCTCTCTCTTTCTTTTGATAAAATTACCAGCTTGGAAGATGAAGGGAATGCTGCAAACATAGCATATCTTGATTTCAGTAAGGCCATTGACAAGGTCCCCCATGACATTCTTGCAAACAGGTTAGTAAAATGTGGGTTAGACAGTGCAACTGTTAAATGGACTAGTAATTGGTAGACCATCCTGTAGAGAAGTGACCAGTAGGGTGCCACAGGGTTCTATACTGGGCCCAGTGCTATTCAACATCTTTATCAATAACTTGGGCAAAAGAATAGGGGGCATACTTATTAAATTTGCAGATAACATCAAATTAGGAGGAATAGCTAATATCCCAGAGGAGATGATCAAAATTAAAAATGATCTGAATATATTAGAAAGTTGGGCCAAAACTAACAAAATTAATTTCAACATGGAGAAATGTAAGGTACTGCACTTAGACAGAAAAAAAAATTAAATGCATAGGTATAGGATGTGGGATACCTGGCTTAACAAGACTAAATGTGAAAGGGATCTAGGAGTCCTAGTAGACCACAAGCTGAACATGAGTCGACAGTGTGATGTGGCAGCTAAAAAGGCCAATGCAATTTTAGGCTGCATCAATAGAAGTATAGTATCTAGATCAAGGGAAGTAATAGTGGCACTCTATTCTGCTTTGATCAAGCCCCACTTGGCTATCAGGATTTAAGTCCTGGTTCTTCTCACAGGTGTAAACATCCCTGACATATAATGCTATTTTCCTCCTCCTTTCCTGTTTGGCTTGTTTCTCATTAAAAAGTTATACCTCTCTATTACTACATGCATGCTTGACCCTTAAATGTTCCTTATATGCCTGACTAATGCAGCCATGGCAACATTGATTAAATGTGTAAAGGGGATGGTAAATGTATCTTTGGAAGATTATGGGCCTTTGCAGACTGCCAGAAATAGTGCAAATCGAGTCCACTTTAAGGGTTAGGGTTAGGGTTAGGGAATCATGGGAACTGTATTTTATTGTGGCACCAGAGCTCTCTAACAGAGAAGGCTCAATGTCTCAGAAAAAGAAAACCACAATTCCCATGATTCCCTAGCACTAACCCTAACCCTTAAAGTGGACTCAATTTGCACTATTTCTGGCAGTCTGCAAAGGCCCTATGTCAACCATTTTAAAGACAGCTGTTATGAAACCAATGTCAAATAAAAGCTTTCTACATCTCACTATGTTAGATAATTTCCAACTAGTTCCAACAGAGACTGTTGGATAAATGTATTATCTTAGCCCATTTAAACCTGCCCTCAGGTCTGGGTTTTGCCTGACAGATGGTCCAGTCTGAGAACAAGACAGGAGAACATGTCTCATTTCGGTCTGGTAGGTCTCTTAGCAAAGTCCAACCAAACTCAGTATCCTTCTGGACCATCTGCCTGGCATAGACTTGGGAGGTGCCTTTTTATATTTGGCTCCATTTCTTTCTTAAGGGTCAGTTTTCAGAAAATAGTGATCATTCATGAAATAGTATTCTTTAAGGTTCAATCTTGATCACCATGATATGTAACATATACTTGAGGAGGCCAGCAAATCTAGGTTGCACTTTAACCAGTATGTGGATGACAAATAGGTCTAAATTTACCTTTACCTGGGAAAAATGTTGATGCTCTGAATCTGAGTTTAGAAGCAGCAATATGCACAAGGGATAATATACTGACATATAATCTAGGCAAGACTAATGTGTTCCCGATCAGAAGATTGGTAGACCATCCTGTAGAGAAGTGACCAGTGGGGTGACACAGGGTTCTGTCCTGGGCCCAATGCTATTCAACATCTTTATCAATAACTTGGGCAAAATAATAGGGCACATACTTATTAAATTTGCAGATAACATCAAATTAGGAGGAATAGCTAATATCCCAGAGGAGAGGATCAAAATCAAAAATGATCTGAATAGATTAGAAAGTTGGGCCCAAACTAACAAAATTAATTTCAACAGGGAGAAATGTAAGGTACTGCACTTAGACAGAAAAAAAATAAATGCATAGGTATAGGATGGGGGAATCCCTGGCTTAACAAAGCAGATTGGAATAAGAATTCAGTTCCCCTTGTAGACACACGTTTTCAGTTTGGGATGTCTATAGACACAACTTTGCATCTTGTTGCTTCTTTAGCCGAAGTGCCTTTTTTAATGTGCCAACTGTGGCCATTTCAGATCTCGCCATGAGGACACGTGCCACAATTACATTTGGGTTTTATTACTGAAATGTACTTTGACTGACTACCTTTCAAGAGTCTTCAGAAATATTAGTGTGAATGTCATGGGTGATTTCTGATGAAACCTTGTGCCACCTTTTCTGTGAGTGCTGCATAGGCAACCAGTTTCTTTCTAGGCACAATTCAAGGTCTTCCTCATGAATGCCTCAGGGCCTTCTCACTATTATCAAATGGAAAGGAACTCCTCTGTGCCCTAACTATAATGGAGACATGAGTGATGGAGGACACTCAGTAACCACAATCAAAGTATAACATTCTTTGCCCCAACAGGCTAGGCTGACAGCATTTCTGATAGTTTTCTGCTATGGTTTTAAAAAATCCTCTTAAGGCAGATAATTTTTTAAATTTCATTCAACATTTGTCCACAGTATCTATTCATTTTTATCACAATGCTGTTTTTACAGTTTATTCCTTTTAACTGTAGTTGGTCATCTTGAGTGTTAAGCTGTTTTATAAGTGAAATGAGTAAATGTTGACAATTCACTATAACTGTTTTTTTAAAAAATATTTCACTTGTCAAATGGAGTGTCACAAGCTTCAGTCTATTTCATGTGTATTTGCAAAGTCAGTTTCACATGCCAGAATCAGTAGGAGATGACAACCTCTTGTTCCAGATTTTAAATGGAATTACCGTGAAGACTGATCCCTGTTGTGATGAATTACTGCAGGAAGTGCTTCTCAGTGTAGTGCTGGAGCATGGCTGCTTCTCACTGGATTCAGTCTTTCACATAAAAAAAAATCCTACCAGGCAAGTCAACAATTTTTGTTTAAAGAAGAAGCTTCCTGTTTTCCTGTATTTTTCAATTTTGTTTGTTTGCATCCCATCACTTTGCTTTACTGTGATCTTTCCTAAATCCATATCTGCCTTAAGGCATATCTGGTCTGTCTGCTTTCTCTATACCAGTTCTTTCTTCTCCTTATTTCAGCAGGCCTCTAATAAAGTCATATTACCTATGCTTCCAATCAATTTCTGAGAGTTAGGAAATAACACCTCTAAAACAGTGACAGCCTCAACTACTCTCTCCAGTTTGTTTTTAACAAACATGCAGGTCTTAATTTTTATAAACGAAGCCTTCTCATTTCAGCTAGCGATCAGCTAATTCCTTGTAGCTCAAATCAAAAATGGTCATCTGTTTTAAGTGTTTGCAAACAACTCTTGGCAGAGGGTGAAAACTTCTCTTTAAATGCCTTAAACATTTCATCTATTTCTGTCTGAATTCTTCACATGAATTTTAGTTCAAATATAGCTAAATAGGCTGTCTTGAGTAGGCTCTTTTTAAAGATTCCAGGGAGCCCAATGATTCAAGGCAGTAATATTGAGGCAGATAGAAGGTAAAAACCACAGAGCAGCTTTCTAAGCAATACTGCAACAGGAGCAGGTGGTTTTTTCCCCCCCAAGGCTCTGCTAGTTTAAGGATTACAGCTCCCATCATTTACATGCAGCATGACCAATGATCAGGGTTGCAGGGGCTGTAGTGAAACCCACAATGATGGCACCTTGCTAGGAAAGACATCTCTAGTAGATGTTTCCTTTAATTTATAGTGGGCCAGTCCAAATGATATCTGAATAGTACAATCCACCTCTAGTCATGGACCAACTCTGGCTTAAGTCAAATGGAGGGTTCCTAATTATATAGAAATCAACAACATCACTCTGGCAACTAGGCTATACTTATGTGGATCATGCAGCATACAAGATTTGTCTCTTTGATAGTCAGGGTTAGACCATAACAGCAACTCCCTCTCCTTGGGGAGTAGGTATGATTTTCCCTGGAGATCCAACTGGAACAGTTTGTAAATAGTCTGTTCTATAGCATGTTGAGGCTGCTAAGCTCCTGTTGGGTGTCTCCTCTTTATGTATTAAAGAAATTTTGAAGAAACTCTGGTAGTGCTTATGTTTGGTCTTGGACCACTAACAGCCCATTTTGCACAGTGATATTCTTTTCCATCCACCAAGAAGATGAGACAGCAGGCTGGTTCCCATATATGTGGTCAAATTGGACCTTTCAAATATTGTCTGACTATTCCAAGTGAGGGCTTTGAAACTAAAAGAGCAGAACAAGCAGAGTTCCCCAAAGCCTCAGGAATTCTGTGAAAATATAAGCCAGAGCAAGGAAGTCTTCCAGTTGTTGTTGTGTCATTTCCCATTTATGGAAACCCGAAGGTGAACCTATCATAGGGTTTTCTTGGCATGTTTCTTCAGAGGGAGCTGCCATTGTCATCCTCTGAAGGTGAGAGAGTGTGACTTGCTAAAGTCATCCAGAGGATTTACATGGCAGAGCCAGGATTTGAACCCTGGTCTCCAGATTCCTAGTCTAAGGGTCTAAGCGCTACACCAAGCTGGCTTTCTTCCAGTAGCAGCTTCATTTATTTATATACTGTTTCGTACTGTGCTATGGGGTGTCTAAGTGGTTTACAACTGTAAGCTCATTGCCCCCAACAGTTGGGTACTCATTTTAGCAACCTCAGAAGGATGCAGGCCTGAGTCAAGCCTGAGCCCTGGCTAGTACTGAACTCACAACCTTGTGGTCTATGAGTGAGTGGCTGCAGTACAGGCATTTAACCACTGCACCACCACTGACAAGGCCTGAAGGCATCATTGGGTTTTTCCACCACGCATAAGGACCTAATTGGAGATGTCCTGGAGATGTCTTGTGACCATTTGGTTCTCTGGGATTCATGATGAAAATAGATTCAGGTTAAAAACCATTATCTATGTAGGTGTAAATCTTGGTTTTCTATTACAACATGACCACTAGGCAATATTACATTTCATTAACATGGCTCATGAGCATTCTGAGATAGGCAAAATGATAATTACACATTTCAGCAACATCATTAATTGTAGCTAATTGTATCTGGAGGGAAAGAAGGCAGGCCATCTCATCGAGCCTAGCCTGAAGAAGAAAAAGGGCCCTCCCTCCATCCACCATCATCTGCAGGGAGAGAAGGCAGGCCATCTCATAGGGCCTAGCCTGAAGAAGAAGAAGGGCCCTCCCGCCAATCCATCTGCTTTGGTCCAGGCTTTTGAGGGAGAGACGATCTGATGGACTTATTCCCCTTCCCCACCACCACCCCCTTCTCCTTTTGTGCCTTGCCTTTTTAGATTGTAAGCCTGAGGGGCAGGGAACCGTCATTAATCCACTTGTAAGCCGCTCTGATAGCCTTTGGCTGAAGAGCGGGGTATAAATACATAATAGTAATAATAATAATAATAATAATAATAATAATAATAATAGTTAGCAGATTCACTACATTCACATCAAGTCAACCCCCATCCTAATAAATTTCTCAAACCAATTATATACATCCCACTCTTTGTAAATTAGCAATTCAAAAACTGAATATTGCTGAACAGCACAATAATGGATTCTCTTTAACCCAAGACTCATCCCTTTATGATACTGAAGATAAAGAAACAATAATACAGGTTGCAGGATTAACATCATAATTAAAGGTTTTACAGAAATTGTATTTAACAAGCAGCACTTAATATGCAAAATATCCTTTAAAATGATTATGCAGAGGTTGGGAATACTGACTGAACTATCGTTACCTGAATCTCAGCTGTATTCATAATATATCCCAAAAGACAACCAAAATTATAGTTATTTTTTTTTAAATCAGGACAAAACATGCTGGGTACCATTGTGTTAAAAATGTTTCCACACGAATAAAAACTGTTCAGAAGAGTGACTCACAACTTCTGATTTTAGAGAGTATAATAATTTCTTCTTTTCCTAATGAACTTAACAGGAGGCTGTATAAAATGGAATGCAAAACTGTGGCCTGGCATTATGTACCAATCCATAGGCTCTCTCTTTCCCAGATTTGGGATAAAACATAGTTTGATGTTTTATCCAAACTAAAAAGCTATAGTTAGAGAGTAGCCTCCAATTCTCAATGGAAAAAAAAAGCCAAGTAGTATCACATACAAGCTCATTCTGCAATGCTCTGACAGACATTAAAGCTTCCACAGCTCATGAACGAAGTGACAACATACTTAGATCAGACACAGGTTTTGAAAAATGTAAGGCTAAAACAGACATGGGCTTCATCTGCACTGCAGAAATAATCTGGTTTCATACCCATTAATTTCCATGGCTCAATGCTATGGAATTCTGCTCTATTGTCACGACAAACTACAATTACTCAGGTCTTGCTGGAGAGCAGAAACTGGCAGCTCCAATCACCCAGTCTTCAATCAGGTGTCTGCCTTAATGCCATTCATTCTCTCTTAATTTGTGATTTACTTTGTACTTACAGTACTTTGTTTTTTTCTCTGTCTTTTTTCCCCTCTAACTTTTGATAGTTTTGTATACAGAGTAAATCCTTTTGGGAAAGACAAGAGACCTGTGTACCAGTTATATCCAGTTGGTGAGGGATTGTGGGACTATGACAATGAAGGCAGTATGAATCATGCCCAACTCAGGGGCAAGGGACTCAGCCTCACCCACATGGCATCCTCCATCTACTAGCCCAGGTTGTTCTCAACATAGAGGCTGGTTTTTCTGTTGGTTTTTGGTCAGAAGGGTTGACATTTAATCATTTAATGTCTGTATCCAATCCCATGCAGGGCTAGCCTTCTACAACTTTCACCAAATAAAAGGATGGTCTCTATTATCCCATCATGGTTGTAAATGGGTTTGCATACCAAGCATTACTTCTCATATACTCATCCTTGAACATCGCAATACACAGAACAAGGGTTATAGGAAAAATTATCTGGAGGAGATTTACCCTATATTCCCTTGATACATGAAACCAAAACAACCTTCACTATTTACAGCTCTGTCTTATATTTGACAGAATAGAACAATGGTTTATTACAGGGGTAGGCAACCTTTTTGAGCCTGGGGCCAGGTTGCTGTCCCTCAGACAATTGGGGGGCCAAAGCACCAAAAATAAATAAATAAATAAATAAATAAATAATTTTAAAATTAATTTTTTAAAAAAAATATGCATGCACACTCTCTCAGTCCCAGAAAAGCCATGACAAAACACCTGTGGAGATTTTGCCAAGAAAACCACAAGAACAAGTAATAACAACAATAATCAACATCATCATGGTGGGTGGCAGCAGCAGTGATGGCGGTGGCGGCGGCAGCAGGACTGGCTTGGTGCTGGTCCAAAGGCCTTGGGGGGGGCGCATCCAGCCCCCGGGCCTTAGGTTGCCTACCCCTGGTTTATTATTCTGGCCCACCTGGTATGTGCAAAATAAAAAAAAAAGTCATATACAGGAACACATCTATGGTTGCAAATCACAAGGACAAAATATTATGTAAGTTTACAAAACAGTGCAGCTTCCTGGGAGTGGTATAACCTCAAGGTGGTGAAAATATGCACCAGTATCCACATGACTGCCACTAGGAAGATATGAGGCCCCGTGGACTCAGAAATTACTTTTAGACAGCAGCATCTATTGCATAATAACAGCCACTTCAACTAGCATTGCCAGTTCAGGATTCTCTCAGTCCAAACCCTGAGATGTGGGAATGGCCCCTGGTAATAGGATTATGCAATAGATATCAACCACAGTTTCTCACAGTAAACACACACACACACACTATATTTTTCTTGTTTGAAAATCAAAAAAGAAATCTTAGTTAAAGGGCTATTTGCATATCAAAGTAAAATAAGGGTATGATTCATTCTCATTTAACCTACTTCTACCTCTAGTGAGAGCAGAATGGAGGGTAAGCCCTGATACCACAGTGACTTCAAGGGAAGGAAGAAACTAATTAAAATAGATAAATCACTTGGAAAGTCTTTGTAAATTGCAACAACAGATCAATTAAGCCTAGCAAATTATATCAAACTGCTGCTCTACTATCTCAGCAGGAGATGGCACACAGCCCTTTCTTTTTGCCTGGAGCTGAGCTCACCAAAAGTAGAGAATCTGTATGTTTGTGTCTCACCTGGATATGAAACACAAAAACTGGAGACTCAGGGCTAGGCCCTGAGATCTGGCAACTGAAGTGCTGCAAACTTAACTGCAATAGAAGCACAACTAAAGGAAGTGTGATGAAAAGCCAGAACTAAGATAAATTTCAGTGATATGAAGATGGAACAACTATTCAGTGTGGAATCTAATACTTTGCAAGCAGATTCCTGCTCATATACTGGAGCATCATTTCCCCACTTCTGCATACACCCCTGCATTCTCCTACATGCTCTAGAGCAGGAGTCAGCAACCTATGGCCCGCAGGCCCCCGAGGCCTTTGGACCGGCCCCTGCCACCCCCCCCGCCACCGTGTGCACTGCCACCATGCCACTGTTGCGCATGTCATGGCCGCCATTTTGGAAAACAAAATGGCGGCCGCGACTTGTTTGTGCATACGCAGTACTCTTGCGCATGCACAAACGAGCCATGGCTGCCATTTTGTTTTCCAAAATGGCGGCAGCGTACGCGGCGGCGGCAGGGGTCGGTGGCAGCCTGCGGAAGACCGGGGGATCCCTGGACCAGCCCCAGGTAAGGGGAACTTGCCGACCTCTGCTCTAGAGAGTCTCCTATCCCTCTGGAGCAAAATTGGTGGAGACTACTGTTGGGAGAGGATTTCTATTATGTTTATAGAAACACAAATTTGGGTACAGTCATAATAACAATCAGATTTATTTCTGTACAATTCTGCTACATGGTAAACTGCCTTCCAGACTAAAACATAGTAAACTTCCTTCCAGACTAAAAGAATGAACAGTGTGGGGAAGAGAGAAAGTTAGTAACAACAATACACAAATTATGTGAATCTCAAATTTCTTTCTTTACAAAATAGATCCATGCCCTTTGCGGATGATTTTTTGTTTTTTAAAAAAATCCCAACTCATCATGCATGGCTGTAGTGTGAGCTCAAGACAATAAAAATATTTGGAGAAGATTGACAGTTTAGCCAGAAAAGTTTTGAGAGCAAAGGGTCCTGGATTTAATCCCTGGGATTTCTAGGAAAGTCTAAGAAAATCACTTGTCTAAAACCTTGACCTGATAGAGCAAAGCTTCTTATGTTTTTTATATACTCCTGATATAATTGCACTAAATGGTGTATAACTTGTTTTTCTCAAACCACAAGATGGCAGCAATCTTTTTACTCCAACTCACATTAAAAAAAGAAATGGTCTTAAAGAAGCAATATTGCAGCCTCTTAGGGCTAATCTACATGTGGTTGAAAATGCATTTCAGCTCACTTCTGCCCTATGCTGACACACTTGTGAAACATGACTTTTGCTGACTCCCAAGTGAAACCCTCATTACCTCCCTGCACCCATGGGCTACATTTGGGAGGAAAAAGATTTCATTTTAGTCTAATTCACACTCTCCCAGCCTCAGAGGAAGGCAATGACAATGACAAAC